CCCCCGGGCCGGGCCCGCCCCGCGCCCCCCGGCGCTCCGTGACTCGCCGGCGGCTCCTCGGGCCTCATCGTTCGCCGGTGGCGGCAGCCAGGAGATGGTCCGGGCCTAGCGCAGCGGCCAGCGCAGGTGAGCGCGGCCGGGCCGGGCCTCCCGCCGGCAGCGGGGCAGCACCGGGGCCGCGCCGCCCCCGCCCCGGCACTCCCGGGACATCCCGGCCCCCCCGCGGCGGGACCGGCGGGCCCGCGGGCGGGATCGGCCGCTGCGGGCGCATCTCCCGGCGGGAAGCTCGGGTTCGGCCGCGTCGCGCCCCGCGGTGACAGCGTGCGGAGGGCGGGGGTCGCTCCCGGGGGCACGGCCCGGGCTCGCACCGGGACCGGCAGCGAGCTCGGGGCCGGCGGGGCCGCTGCGCTGCCCGGCCCGGGGATGGATTTAATCCTGTTCCGGTAATTGACGTCAGGGCTTTGTTCCTTCCCCTTCGCTCTCCGCACGGGCTCGGGGCCGGAGCCGCTCCGGGACGGGCCGGGGGGCTCCGGGGGCCCGGGCGGGGCTCGCCGGCGGAACCGGCGTCGGGCAGGTGCTGCCCAATACCGGGGAGGCAGAGCCGGCCTTCGGACACAGCCCGGAGCCAGAGGCGGCTGTTATGTAAAGGCTCCTGGCCGGTGCAGTTACCCGGCCGTGGAGAAGGAGCCCTCGCTCAGCAGTCCCGCGCTGAGCTTTTCCCTTTTTTCCTTCTGCAACGAGCGAAACAAAGCGAGCAGGTGTTGAGGTGTGTAGCCCGGTATCTGCGCTCACTGCCGGGTCCGTGGTTCTGTTCTGGACTCGAGCAGGTGTTGTGCTGAATTTTGGGGGGAGCTGCGTGCCAAAGCTCGCTCACAGCCTGGGAGGTGCTGCACTGTGCAAAAGGAGCCCGAAAAGGGGCAGGTGTGGGGCCTGCTGTGCCCCCAGCTCACCTCTCACCTCATCACAGCCTTGTTTGATCATTTTCTCTGCAATGCTGGTGGTTTTAAACATCCCCGTGTTCACAGCCGTGCCCCTGTGTCCCTGAGCTGCTTCTGCTCAGCTCGGTGTGTTTGTTTGTCACCTGGGCTCCCTTCCAGCTGCTGATCTCTCAGGTGTATTTCTAGTTCCTGGCGTTCCTTTAGAACTACTGAATTCTCTCGGGTCCCTGGCAAATGGGGATTTGCAGCCTGGGGGGGTCATTGCAAAACAGGGTCTGGTGGAGTGCTTTGCAGGAGTGGTTGTGCACCTGATTGGTCATTTCATGGCTCCTCTAATGAGGGGAACGTGATTAAACTGCCAGCCTTGAGGTGTGGGACAGTCCCAGTGTCACACTGGAGTTACTCAGTGGTTGGACTGGGGCTGGGGCAGGTCTTGTTGGTCAGGAGCAAAAGGGAAAATTTATCTTTTGGCAGTATTAATACCTTGGCTTTATTAACGTGTCAATGCTGATTTGTGGCATTTGCTGCCTCCTGCACGGGGTGTTTGCAGCTCTGTGTGAGAGCAGACTCTCCTGTGTTCAGGAGTGAGACAAGCCTGGAATATCCTGAGCTGGAAGGGACCCACAGGATCATCCAGCCCAGCTCCTGGCCCTGCACAGCCCCAAAATCCCACCCTGGCATCCCTGGAGCTCTGCCCAAACCCTTCTGGAGCTCTGGCAGCCTCAGGCTGTGCCCATCCCTGGGGAGCCTGGGCAGTGCCCAGCACCTCTGGGGAAGAACCTTTCCCAAAATCCACCCTGACCCTCCCCTGGCCCAGCTCCAGCCCTTCCCTGGGCCCTGTTCCTGCCACAGGAGCAGAGATTGGAGCTGTAGCCTGAATGAGCTCTGACCTCAGGCTCCTCTTCTCCAGCAGAACAATCCCAGTGCTCTCAGCAGCTCCTTCTTGGTCCTTCCACACCCTTCCCCATCCCCGTGTCCCTTCTTTGGATCAGCTTTTTATTTTTTTGTATTATGGCACCCAAAAGTGCCCCCAGGACTCCAGTGCAGTTTAACAGCAATGAGGGAAAAGAGTAGGTTTCAACTCTGCTCAAAATCTGTCTCAGGTCCCTGATATTTCCTCTAAACATCTCTGCAGTTCTTGTTTTATGACTTTTCTCCTTGTCTCAAACATTGAGCGAGTGAGGCTGAGCCCCTGGGTCAGCTTTTGTGTGAGAAGCCACACAGCAACCCAGAAAAAGAATTCATATTTATGTGTTTAGCATTCTTGCCAGTTCTAGTGACCTGGGCTTGATAATCCACGATAAAACCCCAGTGAAATATGGCTTGCATGTCTGGGATGTTTTTTTAGGAAGCTGGAATGTGCAGATGCTTTTGCACGGTTACGACCCAGTTCTTTAATGAGAAGATGCCACGTTTCTGTCTGCACAAACCATGGAGTTTGCTTCTTGGGGGCCTTGTGGATAAGGAGCTGCAGCAGAAATGTGTCCTGAGGCTGCAGCTGGCCCGTGACAGGGTGGCATTTGCCACCACTTGCTCCTGTGGCTGCTGGCAGGCGTGTGCTGCCCCGGTGTTTTCCAGCGTGGGTGCTCCCGTGTCGGATGTGACTAAGGACATGTGTGACCTTACTGCCTGAGACAGCCCTGGCATCTTCTGCCTGGCAGCAGGGACTCTGTGACCAGGTGATGGTGGAACTGCTGTCATCGTGTCCCTCGCTGCGTTTCCAGTGCTTGGCACAGGTGCCAAAGCTGCTCGTGACTGCTCTGATGCCTCCCTCCCTTCCCTTCCTGCTCATCCTCTCGGTTTGGGGCTTCTGTCATCATCGCTGCTCTTACTCTTTGCTCCAGATCATCAGAAATTTGCAGTGTTGAGGGAGGAAGTACTGAGAGTTGAGTCTTGAGGGCTGAGCCAGGAAAGCAGCACCTCTGCCATGGGCAGATTTGGGCACGTGGAAAGAGCTCGAGCAGCTTCCAAGAGGCCACAGCAACGTGTGTGCTGAGCTGGGAGGAGTATGAGTTGCAGTGTCGTGTTTGGAGTCCCCCTGTGTGAGGATGAAGGAATAGTCTGGAGTTTTTGGTGACTGAGGTTTCTTTTCTGTGGCAATAATTGTTCTTGGCCACATAATTTCAGTTTGTTACTCACCTGTGGTTTGCTGTACAGGCCTATTTCCTTTCTCTTGTTACTATGTCACAGTTATCTTCAGCAGAGGCTCAGAAATAACTGACTTTGAGATTAGATACCTGAACTTCAGTTTGGATTAGATCCACAGGAGGAATCCCTCCTTGTGAAGGTGGGCAGGCCCTGGCACAGCTGTGGCTGCCCCTGGATCCCTGGCAGTGCCCAAGGCCAGGCTGGACAGGGCTGGGAGCACCTGGGACATGTGGGAGGTGTCTCTGCCATGGCAGGGGTGGCACTTGGTGGGCTTTGAGGTCTCTTCCCACCAAGACCCCCTGTCCTCCTTCACCTTCAATGTCTACCTCAGAGTACATGCCAAAACCAAAATGAGGTTGGTGTCACCTTCTCTGAACTGGGAGAACAGAACACCCCGAGCTGTGGAGAGATGGAGAGGCTGTAGGATGAAGAGGGAGTGTCTGGAAACGAGTCAAGAAACTTTAACAGATTACATTTAGCTAGAGCAGGGTTAGATGTATGTAAAATATCTTGCTAACTGTGTTAAACTAAGAAAATAAGCAATCAAGTTCATAGAATTGCAAAAGTCAAGACGAAAGAACTTGTGTGGCAGTTACTCTTCTGTGGCAGGATGGTTCCTTCTCTGCAGTCACTAATGACTAAGGAGATGCTCTGCAGCTTGTGAAATGACAGGGCTGCTGTCACTGCTTGGGAAATCCACTGCTCCTTCCTGTCACCGAGTCACCCTGAGCGCAGCCAGCCCCGAGTGCTGCAGCTGGGCTGCTCTCCCTGTGCCTCTCTCCTGCAGGAATCCACTCGATTCTCTTTGGAGCTGCTTGCACTAGGTGCCAGCTGGGTGAACCCTTTGCAGCGTGGAGCAGGGCTGGTGCTCTCTGGGGTGAGCTGTGCTCAGAGCTCGGCGTGGCACGGCTCCCTGGGGCTGGGCCAGCCACAATTCCATGTTCCCTGGAGCTGGGAGCTGTCTCCTCTGGGGTCTGCCACCTCCCCAGGCTCTCAGACTTTTGCTGCTTCCCGAGTTGCTTTCTTCAGCTCTGTGTTTCGTACCCCCTTTTCCCTCAC